TGGTGGTGGTGGTGGTGGTGGATGGGTAGGGTTAGGTGGTTGTCGGTGTGTGTGGGGCAGTTTGTGGGTGGGGGTATGTGTGGCGGTGTGTGTGCGGGTGTGTGGGGGGGGGCTGTGTGTGTGTTTGTGGGGGCGGAGAGCTGTGTGTTGGTGTGTGTGTGTGTGTGTAGGGGGGTGGGTGTGGGGGGGGGGGTGTTGGTGTGTGTAAGAGGGGCTGTGTGTGGGGGGGGGACTGTGTGTACTCACCTAGTTGTGCTTGCGGGGGTTGAGCTCTGGCTCTTTGGTCCCGCCTCTCAACCGTCAATCAACAGGTGTACAGGTTCTCGAGCCTGTTGGGCTCTATCATATCTACATATGTGTGTATGGAGCTGTGTGTGTGGGGCTGTGTGGGGATGTAATACTTCACCTGCCTTACAACCTGTCGCACTTTACCCGGAACGTCAGTTTTTAAAACGGGCTCACCATAGCCCGTGCTACTTGGAACTTCTTGTTCCAGGTAGCGAATCTTTGACAACAACAAACAACAACGTCAGTTTTTACAAAAAGTAACTTTACACCCACGAAAGCGTTCTCTAATTAATGTTGTTAAAAAAATGAGTAGAAAATGTGAGAGAGAAAAATTTGAGAGTAGAAAACGTAAATCCAAGATAACTTTTTCTCATTTTCTTAACGACATCAGAACTCCAAGATAACCTTCTTAGAATTGATATCAAGGAGGAGGGTATTTTGTTCGAGCTTATGAAAAAGGTTTTTTTCCTTCGTTTGATGACATAAAAAAAACGTGTTTGTTGCTGAAGAGTGAACCATTTTGATTCTGAAAAACATTTGTCGCTAGTGATACCCAAAGAGAATACTTAACGGCACTGGAGTTAAGTGAATTAAGGGGGCCAGATTCACGAAGCAGTTACGCAAGTACTTACGAACCTGTACATCTTTTCTCAATCTTTGGCGGCTTTGTTTACATTTATTAAACAGTTAATGAGCTCCGAAGCATCAGGAGGCTGTTTATAACAATAACAACAGTTGATTGTGAAGTTTTCATGCTTGTAAACTGTTTAATAAATGTAACGAAAGCCGTCAAAGATTGAGGAAAGATGTACACGTTCGTAAGTACTTGCGTAACTACTTCGTGAATCTGGCCCCAGATTCTCTCCCTCCTCCTCCTCCTCCTGTTCCTTCTGTTCTCGTCCTTTCCTCTCATTCCCCTCCTCTCTCTCTCTCTCTCTCTCTGTCTCTCTCTCTCTGTCTCTGTCTCTGTCTCTCTCTCTCTCTCTCTCTCTGTCTCTCTGTCTCTCTGTCCTCTGTCTCTGTCTCTCTCTCTCTCTGTCTCTCTGTCTCTCTCTCTCTCTCTCTCTCTCTCTCTCTCTGTCTCTCTCTCTCTCTCTCTCTCTCTCTCTCTCTCTCTCTCTCTCTCTCTCTCTCTCTCTCTCTCTCTCTCTCTCTCTCTTCGTCCCACATTCAATCTACACATAAGTGTCAGCCAATTTCTGTTATCTGTAACATAAGCATCTCACCTATGGAGATGTGAACACAGCATCCCTCTAATTCAGAATATCGCTGCCAGGTGCTAGGGAGTGTATGCTCATATGTATATGTTATATATTCATTTATTTGTGTGTGTGTGTGTGTGTGTGTGTGTGTGTGTGTGGTGTGTGTGTGTGTGTGTGTGGTGTGTGTGTGTGTGTGTGTGTGTGTGTGTGTGTGTGGTATGTGTACGCGTATATGTGACTGCATGAATGTGTACGACCGCACGTATGAGTGTGTTATTGTTACGCCGGATATAAAGTCCGTTTACACGTTATTTACTGTACATATGGCTCCATCCCAGCCTCCATTGTGTGCTTTATGTGTACATATTGAAAAGTCAATATTGTGACCAAACAATTTTGTACAAAAAACGAATTTACAACACAAAAAACACGAAAGTTTAAACACGAGAAATTGTTATGGGGAAAACATTCACTAGTTTACCCTGATCTAGACCTAACATAACTAACATAACC